TGAAGGAAGAAGTTCAAGCTGCACTGAAAGCACTGGTAAAAAAAGAAGGTCACAAGGCTGATTAAATAACAATTAACATGTCTAAACCAACAGATGCAGCACTGGATGTGCTCACCAGTCTATGCCAAGAAATCTGGAAGGCAGTAGTACCCGGCCAACTGATTAGAAGAAATCTATTTCCATTCCCAATAAAGGTAATGAATGCAATGGAATGTCAAAACTATTGAACAATACCACTGACATCATATGCAAGTAAAATCTCGCAAAAGAGTATTGAAAAACAGCTGGAAAAGTACACTGACTTCCAAAATTCAAGTAAAATTCAGAAGAGGAGTAGATCAAAGAATTTCATTGCCTATGTCAGATGGATCTAGTGTGAGAGCAGAGTAATCAGAAGGATGTCTATTTTTTATTTTACTGACTATTCAAAAGCATTTGACTGTGCATAACAAATTATGGATAACACTGAGAAGAATGGAAATCCTCAAACACTTAAATGTGCTCATATGAAACCTATACCTAGACCAAGACACAGATGTCTGAATAGAATAAGGGAACACTGCATGGCTTAAAATCAGGAAAGGTGAGCAGCTGGTAGATTTGAACTGTGTGCCTTCAAAATTGTGGTGTAGCTTCTTGCCTCTAGAGCTCCCTAATCAATCTGTATGCTGTACAAATCATTTGAGATGCTAGACTATATGAAGCATCAAGATTGGAGGAAGATTCTGCATGGTGCAGATGATACAATAGTGCTTACTGAAAGGGAAGAGAACTTGCAACACTTGCTGGAAAAGATCAAAGTGGCAGTCCTCAATATAGATTAAATCTCAACATTAAGAAAACAAAAATCTTTACCACTGAGCCAAAAGAACAGTATCATGATGGTGGAGAAAAGTGACACTGTCAACAATTTCATTTCGCTTGGATTCACAATCAGTACACATGGTACCAATAATTAAGAAATCAAAAGACGTGTTGCATTGGGAAAATGTGCTGTCAAACACCTCTCTAAAGTGTAAACAACACAGACGTAAGTTTAAAGACTAAGGAATGTCTGATCTAAGCCATGAAATTTTCAATTACTTCCTATGCATCTGAATGTTGGACAATGAACAATGATGACAGAAGAATCAGCAGTGTTGGAAAAGAATACTGAATAACCACTGACTAGCAAAAGAACAAGTAAGTCTTTCTTGGAGAAAGTGCAATTAGTGTGCTCTTGAGAGGCAAAATAGTGAACATTTGTCTCACAAACTTTGGTCATATTGTAGGAGGGGGCCAGCCCTTGAGGAGAGATATCATCTTAAGAAAGGTAGAATCTCAAAAGACCCTTCACAAGACAAACTGACAGTGAGTAAAACAATGGGCTGGAGCGTAGCAGAGGTTGTGAGGACAGGGCATGGTTCATAGCTGTTGTCCTTTGGGTCATTACAAATCCTAGGTGACTGGATGGCCACTAGACCATTAAGACTTTGTATCTGCTTTGCTGGGGGTTTTGTATGATTTTTTTTTTGGCTGTTTATTTGCAGTGAGCGTTTTGATTTTTCCCCTTGGTGACTACTTAGTTGTTACCATATAATTTACACTACACAGCTTACAACTGCCGTAACACTAAATGGGCAATAATTCATGCACTCACTCAATGCTATCAATTTGAAAATAACTTATAGTGGTCTCCAGTGGGTTTTTGGAGACTGTCACCCTACAGGAGATGTAAACACACACTCAGAGCTGATGGGGGTTTTAATCACTAGAGAGACATCACCTTAGAGTTAGTAGTCCAACTCCTATGGAGTGGTTAACATAAAACCTTAAAATACTTTATCCTTGATATGCTTTGCTCCCATTTCTGCTGGTGCGTCTCCATTAATATCAACATATAACCTGTTGTTGTTATGTGCTGTTGAATCACCTGCAATGCATAGCATCCCTATGTACAGCAGCTCTGAACCCTGTCCTGTCCTGAGCTAGTCTCACTGATTCCAATACACATACCTCTACTGCCCCAGTTACTTTATCAATTCATCTCATCTGGGGTCTTCCTCTCCTGCGCTGTTCCTCCACCATTCCAAGCATGATGTCCTTCTCTTCAAGGACTGGTCCTTCCTCCTGGTCATGTGCCCAAAGTACGGGAGACAGAGCTTCAAAATTCTAGCCTCCAAGAAGAAACTTGTTTTCACCCTCTCCAAGACAAACCGATTTGTTTTCTTGGTGGTCCACAGTATGTTCAAGACACCTCTCCAGTACCACAACTTGAAGGCATCAATTCTCCTTCTGTCATCCTTAGTTACTGTCCAGCTCTAACACATAGCAAGCAATTGCGAAGACCATGGTCTGGATTAGAAGCACCTTTGTCTCTAGGCTACATCATTTCTTTTCTATTTTATAATGTTTTGTGCTTATTTCTTACAAAAATTGATGTTTTACTGTTTGCAGGATTTAATTATTGAGTTTATTTTTTTAAAATATCAGATATTTTGTTCCTTATAACTGCCAATGTTATATTCTTTTTTTGAGATCTCACACTGTGTATTACTATTCATTTTTTTTTCCTCATGAGCAAATGAGTATTCATTTAAATACTCTTGCCTTGGGATTCAGAGTACTCTCTTGAGTAACGCTTGGAAAAGTAGTCTGGTTGTGGCAAATTCCCAGCATTATGTTAGTCTGGGAATATCTTGCTTTCCTCCTCACTGCTGAATGACAGGGGAACTTTGATGGCATATACTACAGCATGTTGCACTGTTAACCCAAAGGCTCTGTATCCCAGCAGCTTTAATCCCCCAGTAGTTCAGCTAGAGAAAGATAGGCTGGCTCCTTCCATCATGATTCACAGTCTTGAAATCCCAATGGAGGGCAACAACTCCATAGCAATGAATTTGAATTCTGAATGACAAGTCTACAGAGTAACACATTCTTGATTGGCAACTGTTTTTTCTCAGTATTTCTTAAGTCACACGATTTCCTTCTGATCTTCTTAGTGTCTCGGAAGAAATGAGCACTAATTCTTACAGGAGACTCTTAAAATATTGTGCTTTTCCCTTGCTACTTTCAAATTCTCTCCTTGTCTTTGATTTTCAACAATTTTATTAGGATGGGTACAGAGTTCATCTTTTTGCGTCTTTGCTGATGAAGAGGTATCTATGTAGTAGTTCCCTGGATGTGCAAGTTTAATTGTTTGTTCACTTCTGGGGAAATTGTCTTTAAAATCTTTACTACTGTCACAGTGCTCTGGGATTCCAAGAATTCTAACTGAATCTTCTGGGTTGGTTTTCGGTGGGGTTTTTTTTAGGGGTGGGAGTGTATATCTCTTATTTATCTTGACACTTGATAAGCTTGGTTATTTTATCTGTAAATTTATTCTATCTTTTGTGTGTTTGACTCTTGTTGAACAAATCTCTTACCTTTTCTAATTCAGTTGCTATATCATTCACTTCCAGTAGTTTTATTTGCTTTTTTAATATTTTCAATTCCCCTTTTAAGTCTCTCAATTTGAATTTTCATTTGTTCCCTGCTTTCCACTACCTGCTTTTCTTTATATGTTTTGCTTTCTTTAAAGATATATGGCACCACAGACAAAAACCTAGGAATTATTTGTTTCTCAGGCCACAAAGGGAGTTTTCTTCGTCTTCATAATCTATATATAATTGGTCCTTTTCTTTTGATTTTGTGTGTTTGACTTTTATATTGGATATATAAATTATTGGATATATAATTTAGGGGCACTATTTTTTTTTTGGTGTATTTTGGTTTTGTGTGATAAGATTTTAAGACTGGGTACTCAGTAGCTCAGAATCCAAGTGCCCATCAAGTGACTATCAACCAACCCACAAGCTACTGCATGACTGAAAGATGAAGCAGCCTGCTCTACAAAGACTCCTAACCCTGAGAATCCCATGGGGAAGCTCCAGTCTTTCCCCAAAAGGATGTCTCCTAAGTCAAATACCAATTAGTGACAGTGGTCTTGGGACCTTGTTCTGAGGGCCACTAGAGGGCAGTCTTACTCCTGTTTTATGGTTTGTTTTTCAGTGCTGGTTCAGGACTTCAGTGCTAGGCCTCTGGAACTCAAAACAAACGTATGTACAGATACATCTGAATCTATGACATAAGTGGTGGTATTCGACTTACTTCCCTCTGGCAAAGGGGAGGAAAAGAGTCATAATGTCCTTCCCTCACAGGCCCTTTTACAGGTTCTCTTATGGTATCCTGTGGTGGACATGGAGCTAGCCATTTCCTTCTATCTGTCCTACTGTCCTGCATCAATTCCTTGCCCTGCAACCTGTGCAATTTCTCCTGTTCCTACGGCCCATCTGAGTCAGGCCATAGAGATTCCACCGTACCTCTTGCATTTTCACAGCCTCCCTGCATCCAGCCAAACTGCATGAGCTTAGCATACTCATGGTGATTTTGCACCACCTTAAAAAGTTCTGTTATACTACCTTAAAAAGTTCTGCTCTATTGTCTTCAAGTTAATGTCTTTTCCATGTTTCCCATTTAGAAGGTTGTGTACCCACCTCCTAAGAAGACTGTGATGAGTGAGCTCTCCTGATAACAGCAGAAGCTACTCCCAGCTTCTAAGCTGTCCCACTCTTCCTCTCCCCCACTTTTAGAATCACCTCCACTGTCCAACAGCTCAGCTGCCACCTCAAAGCCCAAGATCTCAGTCTGTGCTTGTTACTATTTATTGTTCAACAGGTTAGTTACTGCAAGAGTAAGTCAAAGCACCCATTCATTGTGCCATCTCTGTCTACTCTTCCTAAGCTGTAATCCTTTCAGAAGCAGTCTGCTACATCTTTCTCTCACAGAGGGGCTGGTGAGTTCAAACTGAACAACTTTTGGTTAGAAGCTATACATTTAACCACTGTGGTTAATCTTAGCACCCTGATTTATTTGTTAAAGATATTTTCCTTATGTTATTTTAAAAGGTTGACAAAATATTCACAACACCATTTTTTAAGAATAAACTCTAATCTGCACAGTATTTAAAATGATATACTTACTACATCAAACTTCTGAGTGATATTCCCCTGGACATCAAGTAAGTAAACCTTGCCATAATGTGTGCCCAATGCCAAAAACTGTAAGAAAAAAAACACAACAAAAACCAGAGAAATTAGAAAATTAATATAGAACTAGTAAAAAACCAGCTCAGAAGATGCCTAATGTGTGAATGATTCAGAACATCTTAAAAGATGCTTGCTCCTTGGAGAAGACTTGTTTCTGGATTCACTAAAATAACAGAATGGGACAAGAAGTCTGTTTCACTGTAATAGTGCAAGCTGGCTGTCAAGATGATGCCTAAGGACCCTCAGCCACTGACAACTAATGATGTGTATACAGCCTGTACACAATGCCTGATGCACTGGGCCGTGAATTAAAAATGAAGCTGTGAAGTGCAACAATGAATGAATGGAAACCCTAAGTCTCTGTAAACTTTCATTAAAATTAATTAAAAAGAAAGACTAAAAAAAATGCAGCTGTGAAAGTACCTTCAACCAAAAGCTGAAAGCAAAATCAGGAGGGAACGATTGATTAAGAAACTTCCCTTAAAGTAAGGCAAGTGTGTAAATTTCTGCTATCACTTATATAACATATACACACACAACTAACTACTTTATAAAATAGAAAATCTGTGACACTTAGAAAAATGACGAAAGTTAATTTATAGAAATATCAAGTATGTTTATATACTAAATAGTCTTTTTTCTTATGGCAAAATAACTACTGAATTTTATGCTCATTTTATGCTATAAACAGGTCCCTAACTCCCACACTAATCCTAAAAAAATAAAATGAGCAAAAAACCAAAACAACAGAAGAAACTTTTAAGATTACCTACAAAGCAACATGAATTTTTTTTTAACTTCAAGAATTACTCAAACACTGTATTTTTCTGCATGTGAGCATGCTTCCTTATAAAAGCATAATGCAATACTCAAATTTACAGGTACTACTAAACATTTCAGTCAAGCAGCACAATCTTAAAAAAAAATAATAAACAAACATATGGAAAGCTACTATATTTAAAAGGATTTACCACAAAACGAAATTTCAGTGCATGTACTTAAAATATGCAGCCACATTGAAAAGGAGTCACAAAAAGGGAAAGAAGGGGTTCATTAGAAATTCATCCCCTGCAATGCCTTTCACTCCTGCAAGGTTGCCTTTTTTCAGGAAGAAAAAAGTCCCCCGGGTAAAAAAATCAATACTGGTTAATAAAACATCAGGTGTGCAGACATAACTAGGTATGACGATTCGCTGCCCGGGCCTGCTTGAGTGCCCCAGGTGCCATGACGATTAGTCATCCAGGCCAGACAGTGCACGGCAGAAGCAGGAGTCTTCAGCACTGGGAGGGAGAGGCGAAAGGACAATTCTGGGGGGAAATTAGCCTGAATATTTAGACCAAGCAGGAATGTTTCCTCCAACCAAAAGGAAAAAGGTATTCTCATCCAAAATGGAAGACTCAAATGGTTGTGATTTTTTCCTCCACTGTGACACTCTGACAATACTTGAATAGGAAAATACCACATCATACTACCTAAAACCAAACAATGCTATATAGGGTTCTGAAGCTATTTCTAGAAAAACAATGGGTCTTAAAAGCTCACTGCATCCCCAAGTATCCAACAGTATTGATTCTCCTCATAAATACTTTATTTAGTTTGTAAGAAAACTAAAGAGACATGGACCCTTAAAGTGGTTTTAATATTGTGTCATTCTCCAACATTTCTGGAAAAGCCACTTTTTAAATTGCTATTCTATCTTACAGGATTTTAAAGGCCTGCTTTGTTGCTATTTCTTTTTTAAATAAAATTGCTTGTTTCATTCATTTACTATTTTAGATAGAAAATATAGAATTATTGTTTTGATTTTATGGAGTTTCAGCCTAAACCAATTGCTTTTGAAGATTTTTTTTAAAAAATCAGAAACTTTCGCAGAAAGCTATCCTTTACTTAGAAAACAAATTTTTCATATAGATCAGATAAATTATTCTCATTCTCTTTTAGAAATAAATAATACAGGTTCTTAAAGAGAGATTATAGCTACTAAAAAGTTATTTAACTGTTCCAATTACAGTTGAGTAATACAAAATGAGAATTTGTTAATATTCTGTGACAACTTAAAGGACAATTTTTTAAAAGAAGTAACAGATGTAACAGGGCATAAATGAAAATCCTTCAAATCTGACTCAAGTTTCCAAGCATTAAATGCCTTGAGCTTTTCAAACTGTCAAAGCTTTATTTTTCAGTCTGAAACACTTATAATCTAGAATGGCAAAAGAATTAGCACAATCTAATTACATCTTTCATGTTTGACTATGAAAACTTGATTCATTATATAAACTATCAAATTTGGCATCCAATTAATTCCCCCAAAATTCATTAACACAGCTGATTTTACTAGAGTGTTTTGATTTTGTGTAAGCAAACAAGAAGGAGTGGTAAACAGCTCTCTGGACACCACAAAGGAAATGAAAAATAGCTTCAAATTTAGTCAGCTATAAATTCTGCTTCTTGTCTATTTATATTGTATTCAATACACCCCTTGGGGTGTGTTAAGTATGTGCATGATGCTATATAAAAATATAAGTAATATTTCTGGCCTTATTTATTTTTTGTTGGTAAGGAAAAGAAGGCAGAGGAAGCAGGGAGACACTGCTGTAAAAAAAAACCCCAAAACTAACACCTGCAGCATCAAGTCTCCAGAATGCAATCAAGCCCAGCAGAGAAGCCACTTACAGAGGCAAATTCTCATAGTTCTATTTCACCTTGTCATGCACTGTCATGCAGCTGGCTGCATCCTTCTGAAGAATTTCAGTTATGCCATTGGAAAGCCTTTCATACTTCAGTTTGGGTTCCTCTTCACTCTCTTCTTCCTGGACACAATGAAGAAAAAACGACAGGCTTCATACACTTAGCTAAATGTTAAGACTTTTGTGTTTTCTTTTTCCAACTGAATGGATGTTCTACAACACCACTGGCGGAATAAATGCAATAGCTGAAAAGAGTAATATACAGACTATGAAAATTATTTACTTGAGCGTGTATCTGACCCACTATGCACATTGTATGCTATTAAATGATGTGCATGCAAAACACTTCTCACTGTAACATCACAGAAGGGAGCTTGGGAGAGCACAATGTAGAGAGTGTTGTGCTCTCAACCTAAAGGCTACGTATCTCTGGTGGTTCGTATCCACCAGCAGCCCCATCCAAGAAAGACAGTTAGTCTGCTGTTGCAAGTCACTGCCTTGGAAACCAGTGGAGGGTCCCTAAGAGGTGAAACCAACTTGACAGCAATGAGTGAGTGAGTATGAACTCACAGACATATGTTTTCCATGTAGTGTCAGTGAAATAAAATGAACCTAAAAAAACCCACAAATCTAGATTTCAAGATTTTAAATATTTTAATCAGATCTGAGACAGGCTAAACAGAATTTTAATTAGAAAAATGTCATTTGGAAATGCCAAAGTAAAAAATTACTTTATAATAAGAGTAAATATTCTATAGAAATATAAAAAGATATTTTATAGAAACCAAAAGTATATACTTAATCTTTCAAATAAAAATTTTCAATGTTGATTTTAAATAACTAATAAGCTATTACTTATTTACTGTTAGAAACTTTATTACTTATGCTCAAATAAATATACTTAACCATCAAAAATGTGTTAAATTTTATGTATAGTGTCAAACTTTCTATGCCTCACTGTCTGGTGTAATATCAGAAGAGACTCTGAAAATTGCACTGGAGCGCAGAGAAGCCAAAGCACAGGGAAGAATTCAAGATACTAAAGAGTTGAATAGAAGATTT